GGACCGGGACACCATCACAACATGACTGGGTCACAATCAAAACATGATCGGGACACCATCAAAACATGACCGGGACACCAGCGTCACATGACCCGGACGCCATCAAAACATGACCGGGACACCATCCGCCCACCAGCTCTGACGGTGACCCGACGGCGCCCGTCCGCCTATTAGTTTTGCAAGACCCCATAGCATGGCTATTGGGGAATAATAGCGATGGCCTCCAACCTAGTAGGGATGGCCTCCAGCCCAATAGTGAGGGCCTCCAACCTAATAGCAATGGCCTCCAACCTGAAGAAATGAAACATGTAATGTGGGACCACTGGTCATCAGTCGTTGTTAAGCGTCGCCTCACTGTTTTGAGCATCAGCGAATGCATAGATACTAGTAGCATTACTTATTACCTGGCCTTCCAGCCCAAAGATCTCGACTGCAGCTGGTGGTTGCCCCGACGGCTTCTGCCAACACTGGAATTCCTGCAGCACTAAATGCGAAAGACTCCTGGGGACACTGAATGATCTGACTTGGAAAGCACAAAAAACACAAGAAGGGTAGGACGGTAGGAATCCCAGGTGTTGATCTTCAAAAAAGCTTCTGGTCTGGGGTTTGGAGGCCAATGCCACGTCAAAGTTCAAGAAATCTAACCCAGGCGTGACCAAGCAGCGCTTCTCAATCCACTCTTCCTTGTAGTTGATGCCATGTGCACGAGCCTTCACATGCATAAAGAAATTATGGGAAATTCAACAGCTACTGATTGAAGCCAAGCCCAATCACCCAAGTGGGGTCATGTTTGACATCCCTGTCCAACACTACGGCCAAGGCACCACTGCCATGATCTCCTGCATGGCTGAACGCCACATCTGCTCCAGCTCCGGGACCTGCCAGGACTGGTGGACATCTCAGATGTGTGCAACAGCGGGATCATCGGCTCCTTCCGTACCTTCTGTCCTCTTGTCATCTTTTCTATCGCACCATCGAGAGCTTGTGGCATCTCAGTTTGGTGTGCGTGTGTGTATTTCTTACCATTCTTTCCTGTCAAGAACTGGCACGGGCTTGGCATCGGGGAACGTCGAAGAGTTCCGCAGTACAGCAGTGCCGGATCGCTGCAAAACAAAGCAGAGTCATCTTGTGTGGGGAAATGCCCTACATGGCCTACTGTATATAGCGGACATAAGTTAAGCAGTTCTATTCCCCAATTGCCTCCTGAATGCACCGTGATTCCTTGCCAGCACCCAGCCTGCGGAATCAGATTCTGTGTTGCAGTGGGCCCTGCAGTGGCTTGAACAGCAGTGGTGGAGCAAATGAAGGAGAATTTCTCCTCAGCGATTGTCTCCGACCGTTTCCGACCGTCTCCAACTCCACAGGCCAAACATGCCTACCCGGATGGATGTGCCCCTTCCCTTCTCATCAGAAAATGTGCCATATCAGATTCAAAATCATCTCAGCATATCCCAGCTGCATAGCTCATTCAGCCAAGCAGGCTCCACCCTCCCCAAGCTTGCCAAGGGGCCCAGCAGGCACACAAGGCATCGGGTTCCAAGTGGACTGACAGGGGATGTCTTTTGCAAGGACCCCATGGGGACCCCTTATATGCCTCATCTTCAACTCATGTTCACTCAAGCCTGAGATTTGACAGGAGACATGATGTGAGATACTGTAGACGCCAAAGAAAGAAGAAACAGCAAAATCAATACTTGGGTGTGCGTCCTCTGCAACTGTATCAGAACCCTTCACAAGGCCTCACCTGCAACACCCTTGCAGGCTGCAAAAATAGTCTCCAGCTGTTTCGTTCTTGCTGTTGCCTGGCCCTGGCCACAGAAAGCTCTTGGCAGTACAGAGCAAAAGGTCTTCTTTCGGCCTCAAACTCACCAAAGTAGACTGCCGGCGGGTTGGCTGCCCAATGCTTGATGAGGCCTGGCTCCTGCGCGTTGAGTTCCAAAGTCTAGTGGCAGCGGTCCAACAGCCAAAAACAGATTGCGAAGCTCCTGGATGGCCGCCACAATGTTGCACCAGCCGACCAAAGGATGACCCTTTCCCCAGGATGTCACGATTGAGCGTGCTGTGTTCATGCCATCCACACCATTCTGCAAAGGCAAAACCTTGGATGAAAGCTCAAGGTCGCGACCAAAAAATCACATGCAGGTTCTTCCACCCACTCTTGCCGTGCCCGCCCATGACCTAGCTGAGCAAGCTTTCTGAGGTCGCGACTACGGTCTTCTCTCCACACCACGGTGCACACATTCGCAAGCATCGCTCAACTTCCCAGGCCTGCCATGAGCTTAACATAGAGAATCTACTGTAAGTTGGAACATGAAAATAAATTTGGAATATCGAATTTAGAAACCTTTAGCTGCAGCTCAACCGGCCAAGTGTTTCCGGTCAAAGCACTCTCATGAAAACGCACCACTAAGAACTCAAGCCGACAACATTCCAATTCCAAGGCCGACTTGTATTCTCCCAGGGTGATTTGGCATGCACCCACCCTGTCTGCATGAGTGTCTCCTTCAGGTACCTACCTTGCAGGCCAGGACGATCACATCGGCATCAAATTTTGCTTCCTTGTCCAGCTCTTCGGTGTTCACCACCTGCAAGACTCACAATGAACATCTCCTCGAATCCTCGAATGGATGAACATGAGGGTGCATTGACATGTTTGACCAACCGTTGGACTGACCAACTGTTGGAGCAATCCCCCATGTTGAAACATGCATGGCAAACTTGCAATTCATGATGCAAATTTGCCACAAACCGGGTAAGCTCAACAAATGATGGAGCGACCTTAAACAGTTTTGGAGTGCAAGGGGTTTCTTGATTGCTCTGCGCTGAGTCGTGTTCGTGTTGCTGTTGTTGTCGCTGTCATCATTGCAGGCGTGGTTGTCGCAAATATGGGAGTGTGGCTGGCCTGCATGTTGTTTGTATATATTCGTTCCTTGGCCCACTGGCAGCTTCAGCCTACGAGTACCTGTGACACTGCAAAACTGCCCGATACAGTGATGCGGTGTACTTGACATCGCTGTTGTTGTTGCTGTTGTTTTTTCTTCCTCCTTCTTCTTCTTCTTCTGCTCCGGCTTCAGCTTCTGCTACTTATGTTTTTCCTGTTGTTTCAGGTGCTGCTCTCTTGGTTTTTGTTGTTGCAGTGGTGAAGTAGTTAGACGTTGACAGTGACAGTGACAGTGACAGTGGTGGTGTTGGTGTTGGTGTTCTTGTTGTTGTTGTCGTCGTTGTTGGTGGTGGTGGTGTTCGGTTTCGGTTTCGAAGGCCAAGCTCCCAAGCGGCTTTGCACATGCTACGCATCAAAGGAGGCCCGCCACGTTTCCACAAAGCCGAGGTTCCAATGGCCTTGATGTCCAATCTAAGGTTTCTCGTCGCCAAATTGAACTCAAAATTGAAACCTCTGTCCTTCACTCAGCACTCGATTGGGAAAAGCTGCAAAACATCCACAACATGGCACTTCGTGTTCTGGGAGAGCTTTTGTGGAAATTGGTGGGTCTCTGAGGCCGGGATTGCGGATTGAATCCCCACATAGGTACCAACCCATCTTCATGACAGCCGCCCCGTAGTGTCCAGAGTTGGAGGCGCCTAAGCGTCCAACCGCTGCCACCTTCATGTATTTGCGCTCAACCTACTTTAGGCCCTCCACACCGAGTCGTGGGTCAAGTTCTTCTTGAATCAAGATGCTAGTGGATAGCTTGACGCTTCCCTGTTGGCCTGGCGGCGGATGAACGCGGTCCAGGAGCAACCAAAGAAGTGAGGGACATTGTGCAAAGGTGGCGAACATGCCCGAGTTCTGCAACCAGCTTGCCACTGAGTGAGCAGGCGGACAAAATGGTTATGGCATGGCTGTGGAGCGTACAATCACCGCCTGATGCTCTGGCCTGCCTTTTTACAGTGCAATCCCCAGGCGTTGCAATTCAACTGTGGCAGGAAACCAGAAACTGAGCAGCGTCGCACTGCTTGGTTCTGCCCAAACAAACAAAAGAAGAAAAGATTGAAAGGGATCGCGTGGGAACGCCGCTTCCTTGTGTCAACAATGCCTGGAGCTACCCCAATCCCCAAAGATGAAATGTCTGCAACGCACACTTGCCCACATCAGAGCTTGGACTGGAGCCCCACTAGATGTGCTGCCTGAGGCTGTCCAAGCTGGTTGCTAGGGCCCCACAATGCACAGGCCGGCTCTCCTTCAATGGAGTCTCGAAGGGGTCAAACGGATGAAGCTGGAGCTGATGATCCTCAGTTGATGCCTGGGCATGGACTGCTTCATCAACCCCGAAGGACACCTGTGTCAGCTGTCTTCTCAATGGGCTTGTTCACATGTTGTTCCCGCAGCAAAGCACATTGCAACAAGATTGAACATCCATGCATGCGAGCCCACGTGTGGTGGCAGAAAGGACAGGGTCTGCAAGTTGATCATCTGCTCAACTCCAGGAAACAACAAAGAGGGATGGGCATCACATAAGTGGATGATGAGATCTTGCCCCGAGGAAGACAGCGTCCGCACTCTATGCAATGATGTGCCATGCAGAAGCACGGATCTCGATCCTGTTAGATGGCATCCCAATGGCCTTTCACAGCTGTCACAGCTCTCTGCAATGCTTGGCCCCGAAGCACTTCGAGGTTCATAACCTGAGAACTGGGGCGGGCTAGGAAGTAGTCGCGTAATGTGCGTCGTTTCTCCAGTTGGGTGGGATGATAGTCAATTCCATCATCAGTCAGTAAGCCATTCCAGATAGCAGGGTCTATGGGAGTGGGGGAGGAATTAAAATGACTGGTGTGACTGGTGCTCGTGGTGGTGGTGGTGGTGGTGGTGGTGGTGGTGGTGGTGTCAGTGGTGTCAGTGGTGTCAGTGGTGTCAGTGGTGTCAGT